CGAACTAAATATGCCTTAAGTGTAACGGTGCAGTTTAAAAAAAATTTGAACAGTATCTACTATAATATAATAATTGAATGATTTAAATGATATGACCGCGATAAATAACTCTCATGAGGCTCTCTACGTTGATCTACCTTGGATCCCCATTCAAAATTTTAAATTTTTTAAAAATAAAATATGAAAAATAAAAATTTTCAAACTTATCCTACCATCAATCACCTAGTCGCTAATCGAGCTAGATTAATTCACCACTCCCAAGCTTATCATTCACTCTTCTAGGAAATGCTCTTTTGCGTCTGGTGGATGCCTTTTGTTTAATGCAATTTCATACGTACTTGACATGAAAGTGCTTGCTATTGCTGCAATTGCTAGCCTGTAAAATCATTTTGTGTCCTGTGGGAGGGAAGTAAGTGAGAGATCCACATTCTGCTTAGAAGACTTTTAACTTTTTACTAGTGCTAGTGGCAAAGAATTTCACAGACCCAAGAGAGGAAAGATAGTGAATTGGCTTGTCATTGCATCAATTCTGTTTTTTTTCCTTTTTAGAACATGTCAACTCTTTTCGAGCTCCGAATTAATCAAAATGAATGAATTGTGAATCATCTAAGCTAACAGATAGATTTACTTTTGATATGTGAGAAGGCGATTATGGCATGCATGCACCAAAAACAAGTTTCCGAATACTAATAGGAATTTTGACAGGACTTTTCTGCAGCCTAATATTTCTTCAAATAATCTAGAGTCTCCATATAGGTATCACTTGAGGATAGAAGAAGGAAAAAAAACAAAAAAAAAACAAAAAAAGGAGAAAGCTGGAAGTCCTTATGGTGAAACTCCTTAAAAAAGCTAACATGTGAAATACTCTCTTTAACTATTAGATTAAGTTATCAACAGTTAAATTTATGTAAATCCGTATTAAAAATTTATAATGAGCCATACCTACTCACTTTGTATATCTGTTGAAAAAAATAATCAAACAGTCAAAATAAAATATTCCATCAGTCAGTATTTGTAAGGAGTGTCACGGTAGAGAAAGTCAAAAGATAATTTAGAAGTGGAGAATCCCGAGCTTTACTTGGCAAATAGTAAGATGATGTTAGCATTGTCCCCTGGAGCACCAAGCATCACTAGGTGGGGTCACCATGTTGAGATGAGATAAACTAAAAAACCATCCATTCTCACTTCCTCCATGATTTTAACACCTCTCTCTGATTCCCAATAATGTCCTCTCTCTCTCTCTCTCCCACTTTGATCTAAACCCTTCAAACAGTCAGTTATAAACATTATTAATCCACGCACACTTTCGATTCATTTTACTTCCTTTGACCTTCCACACAACTTGGAAACTTGATATCTGAAGACCCCAAAAGAGAAAAACAAATGATTTCCAAGGAAGAAGAAACAGCAACAGATTATGATACAGCGGCAAACCAACAACAAAGTGAATTATTGCTCGCCGAGGGGACGGAAGAGGAGGAGGATCAGCATCAAGGAGATGAGTGGCTGAATTTAAGTTTAGGAAGCGGTAACATGATATCAACGGCTGGAGATCATGATCAAAACTCAGAGTCACAACCACAATCAAGGCCTAGTTCTGGCAAGGTATTTTCTTGCAACTTCTGCATGAGAAAGTTTTACAGTTCACAGGCATTAGGGGGTCACCAGAACGCTCACAAGAGGGAAAGAGGTGCAGCCAGGAGATACCAATCCCACAGAATGATGTCAATGATGGGATTGCCTCTCAACACTTCCGTCGTCAGATCTCTCGGTGTTCGCCCTCATTCGCTCGTTCACAAGCCCCCAGCAGGCAGGCTTGGCACGCCAATCACGGCCAGATTTAGTACTGATCCAACTGCAGGCTTTGGAATGGTATGGACTCCCTTTCAGCTTGAGGAAGCTGTGGATTTGATATGGCCTGGAAGCTTCCGCTTTAATTCGCAGGCGTCGGAGCCCCCGCGGATATCGGAGCCAACTACTCATCCTCTCAAGCTTGACCTAAACCTCAAACTATGATCCAAGTTTTTCATTCTATGTAGTTTATGTAAGAAGAGGTTATTTTGTTCAAGTTATGATACTATCCTTCAAATTATATATCTAACGCTAGGTAGTATGGAATGTATTGGCCTATAGTACTGTGAAAAGTCTCAGTATCTAAGGATGGTTGGTTCTGTTCTGCCTAAAGAAAACTCAAATAAGTACTATGAATTGTGAATTTCCTACTACTTTCTATAGCTGTAATAGTTCCAAGAAAAGGAGAAAAAAAAAAAAGTTCAAAAGCATATTTGATATTTCCACTATGTTGCCGTTTGTTTGATCCTAGAACAATATTATGCTCATGTGAAACTAGAGCGAGTCCTTTTTTTTTTTTTAAGAAATTAGTTCTATTTTTCATTTTCCATATTATATGTGGTTGGCCGGTTGTGGTTCAGCCAATAACTCTTCTTTTTTTTTTTCTCTTTTACTGGTTGAGAAAGATTAGATCAAATTTTATACAACCCGACTTTACTCTTTTGCTAAAGAACAAAAGTGGCCCCGAGACAAAGACAATCACAATGCCGGTCATACAAACGTTTTTCTATTTGCATCAGGGGAATTGTAATCATTAGCAACTTGCTAACACACAAGGAGTTTTTGACTCTTAACAATAAATTTAAAAATATACATATATATATATATATATATCAAATTTCATTGAATTTAATTGGTCACAAATATTTGACAATGAATCAACCTAATACAAACTTTAATCGAATTAGCTTCATGACAATGAGACAGAAGCTACTTTAAGAGAGAAAAAAAAATTACAGGGCAGTTAGTAATATCTGTACAGCTTAATTAGTTATCATGGGCTCACTAAGCCATTTTCCAAACAGTGATAAGGCCTTGGGCTTCTGCAGTGAAAAACAATCCTTGAGGCCCATTCTGAATCGTCCAAACTTCTTCTTTTCCAAATAATCTGCCACTCTCAGCAAACCTGAGGTAATAAATGAATTATTTTCATCTCCAAGGGAAGAGGAAAAACAGGAAGAAGATTTATAAAAATTCATCAGAAAAGGAAAAGGGTGGTTTATAACTTACGATGGTAGCTCATACAGACGAACTGAGTTGTCGCTGCAAGAGCATAGTAAGATTGGCTTGCCCATTGCGTCCATAATCCCACAAAGTGCAAGAGCACCCTAAAACATGTAGAAAAAAGATTGATCAAATTTGGTCCATAAATTAAAATAAAAAAGGAGTTATGAAGTAGATATTAATATGGCACGAGATATTGCAAAATAGTCAGGCCATTGCTTTTCATTAGAAGCCGCTATTTTAGTTGCTAAAAATTAGAGCCATTACTGGTCGTGTAGTATAAATGCAATTCACTATACTTTGGATGATGAACAAATTAATTTGGGCCGCTAAATTTTGAGTTGTTTTTGTCAAGTGAAACTTAACAACAAACAGATTCAACAGTTAAAATATGTTTTTCTCAATATTTAATGTTTGAAAAAACGTTGCACAGTAGGATCAAAATTTACATGACACCTTTAATTCTATACTATATATATATATGTATTATATTTATTGGTTGCACATGAAATTAGATAACAAGTTAGTGTAACTAAAAAGTTATTGAAGCCAGATATAAAAGGAGAAAATCGTGGTGAAATAACGTACATGTTGTTCATTGTGTGTATAGATTACTTCAATGTTGCCTGCTTGCGAAGTAGCCCAAACTTTGATTGTGCCATCCTCTGAGCAAGATAGCAAATACTGATCCCAGCAGATAAGAGACATCACCATATCTTTATGTCCTTTCAGAATCGCAACACATTGCAAAGTATCAAGGTCCCAAACCTGCAGTAATAGAAAAGAAAAACATTTTGTATTAGTATATCAAATCCACAAAATTTCAAATCATGAAAAGAGAGTTATATTTTGCATGGGTTGATAAATTAAATTAATTTCTAGCTATACTTAAGAGGGATATAATTCAGAAAGTAATAATGACGTAAAGTAATAAATGTATAAATCCAAATATGTTAATTAAGATCTAATGAGAAAAACATAATTACGTACCCTAATTGTGTTGTCCACAGAACCAGAGAACAACCTCTTTCCACCAACAGCCAAACAAGTCACAGCATCACTATGGCCAACCAAACATGTCAAAGGTTGAAATGGATTATTAGTTTCAGAGGAACCTCTCCATGCAAATATCTGACCATTCTGCAAATATAAAAAGAAAACAAAGTTCAGTTGTTTGGTTCTAAGAATTTGGCTAATTCCATTTAGACAAATGTAACACACATGTATATGTGTGTGTGTATATATATTGAGCTACCTGTGCCCCAGCAAAGAGCATGTTATTAGCAACAACCATGGATTGCACTTGACCAACAGGTCCATCCAGACTGAATTCAGCATCATTCTGAGTGTTCCAAACCTGTAAAATGATTGGGACATATATATTAGTTATTCTTAAAGAGATTAATGAAATAACACAAAACATGAAAGATGAAAACTATTACTGCATTTTTCTCTGGATGGCGGTTAAGCAAGCAGTAGTTGAGGTTGGTAGGCTAAAAATTAGTGTTATGAGAAACTCCCTTCAAGAGTTTTTTGCTGTCAAAGCTTTTGGACTTGAGGTTGTGTCTAAAAAAGCTCTTAAGATCTATTTAGTTGTTTGGAGGGCTCATCCACCAGTTTGGATTAAAGTTAACACGGATGGGGTTGCTAAGAGGAATGGTTTAGTTGGGGGAGGTGCAGTCTTTCGAAACTGTAGAGAAACCTTCTTAGGAGCTTTCAGTGTTTTTTTTAGACAGTGTCTTGCTATAGAAGCTGAGATGGAGACTATTATTATGGCCAAGAGTGGAGATGCATTTTGTTAGAAAGTGATTATGCTTGTGCAGTTCATCTTTTTCGGAGTGTTAGTTCCACAGTTTCGTGGTCTCTTTAGAATGTTTAGATGGATGCTCTTCATAAGGCTAGCTCTATGGATTTTGTTATTTCTCATTCTTTTAGAGAGGTTAATACCATTACTGATTGTTTGGCTAATTTTAGTGTAGTTTCTGGTTGTTACACTTTGTGGCATAATGTTCCAAGTTTTGTTCTTAGAGAGTTTGGTTTGAATGCTTCTGGTTTTACAAAATATAAGTTCAAGACTTGATGTTTTGTTTATCATTTCCTTATTATTTTCTTTTTAGCCTCTCGGTTTCTGATGTTTTTTTTTTCTTTTGCTTTTAATGAATTTTCCTCGTTGAGGTTTTCTTAAAATATATATATATATATATATATATATATATATTACTGCATACCTTAACAACATTAGTTAGACCAACAAAAATCCAAGGGCCCTCACTAATCAAAGAACTAATTTCGCCGGCAAGCTTGATCACACGGCTGCATTGGCCATTCTGGCAATCCCATAGTCGAAGTGTGCCGTCCCGGCTCGCGGAATAAAGCTTGTCCATTGATGAAGTCAGGGTAATCCCCTTGACACCCTGTTAAGAAAGTACGTGATTAATTATGACAATGACTTCAAAAACACCTACTCAAGGACATCAGCTCTAAATTAACAATAAAGAACAAAGATAGAACCGTTTGAGCTAGAGTAGCTGTAACATAGATATTTGACCAATGCAGAAACGTAATATTAAAGAAGGAACTTTAATTCTTGACATCCTAATATGCAATATCAATCATATTCAAAGGGATGGTGCATCATATTTGAGAACCACGAAAATCACTATTTTTATTATTTGGAAATTAGACTTTAGTATGTACTTTGAATGCTAGTATTTTTTTTTAATATATAATTAGAATTACTAGCATCACTCTTTTTGTCACACTTTATCACTTTTTATATTCATTGTTTGACACGTGGACTCCACTAGCATGATAGATTAGTATTTAAACAAACATGAACTAGTAGAGTACAGTGAACGCAAAAAGTAACAAAGAGAGTAAGAAAGAGTGACGCTAACATTTCTCATATATAATATGTAGTTGATTGTGCATTTGAAGATAGTTTAGCATGTGAATAATTCGAAGCAAATTAGGAATCAACTAATTATAGCCAATTAAAACAAACAAATAACAGCCCTAAAACAAATAATAGATGCCGAGTCTTTGAGAATTACTATTTTTAGCATAAACATTTAGCGCGATAAAACCACAAGAACAATGCTTCTAATTCAAATTAACGTTACCATGTTATGGCCATGGAGGGTTGACAACTTTGAAAACCCCTCACCATAGAACCATGAGTGCAGATACGAGCAGCGATCGCCTCTCGCGCAGCTTCCGTTCAACCAAGACTTGCAAACAGTCTTCCTCTTCTTCTTTTCGATACTAATAATACTAGGAAACCTCTTACTCGTGACCGTCGTCGCTTTGTGATCGGCGGCGCTTTGGTGGCGTTGCTCTTCGCCGTCCTTCCAGGCCGAGAAGGAGATTTTGCTCAAGTCTGCTTTTTCAGGAAGACTATGGAGAAACTGACAGTGCTGGTATCTGTCACAGGTTCCCAAGAACCAATACCAGCAAACTCTTACTTTTACAGTGCTAATAGTAGTTCCTGATGATGATGATGTTCTTGCGCTACTTTTACTCTTGAAGACTTCCATGTTTCGGAAGTGAAAACGAGACATTAACGAAACATGTGACTTTGGTTTGAGAATATTGGTTGATGATTGAAAGTATATAGGAAAGTTTTCGAGATTACTATAAACGAGGAAACGAGGAGAACTGGATATTCTGGTTTTGATTGAGACTTGAGAGTGTGAATTTTCTGATGAGAAGTGAGTGTTCTATAAGGTGAGGGGGATACGCCTATTACACTTTCGAAAGGAAAGGACTTCCCTTCGGAATTGTAGTAGGAAAATGAAAAGAAGACTTACGTGGCTTGTTACTGTTAGGATTTAGGAAGACTTTCCTTTCTTTTTTTTTTTTCCCCTAAAGTTGTCCAACTCAAGTCGTAACACTTCATTTACTTAAAAAAAAAGTTCCATTTTTATTTAGCAAATTTTGAGGTTATAAAATTATTCCTTATTTTTTTACCAAATTCATATCTTCAAATTTCAAAATCATGATAAGTACTAATCTAATTCATGATAAATACTTATCTTTTTTATTAAAGGTTGATATTAAGTCCTCCACATTTTTGAATTCTTATTTTTTTCTTATTTTTTATTTTTATCATTGACCAAGAAAAGATAAGAACTGAGAATAAATTCGAGAGCCAAAAGCATAAATGTGATATAGTTCAATAAAGTTTAATTTTTTAAATAACCGGTATAAGATGAAAAAGAAAAAAAAATAAAGAAAACTTCATATTAATAACTCAAATTAAAAAATAAAAAACATGGCGTTATATCTAATTTGATCGATGTAAAATTAGACTTTCTCCTAATATTGTTACCAAACACAATTTTTTCATTTAGAATTCAACGCAGTTTTGAAAAAAAATTACCAAACATTTTTTTAAATAGGTACTTTGTATTCTAAATCAAAAAAATATACATACCAACACCAACTTTAGAGGGACATTAAACCTCAATAAGTGACTGAATCCACTAGTACAATTTAGTGATGTGTGCATCTAGTTTCCTCACTGAAAAAATACATAAGGGAAACAAACATCAAATATTAAATTGGCTCTTTTAAACAAATCTCAACAATAGATGGAAAACTCCAATCAGTCAAGAGAATAAGACCTATACCACTGAGATCATTACAAAAAATAAATAAATAAATAAAATTTTAGAGGAAAACTTTAGAAAAATAAACTACATAAGACGAACCAAACAAAACAAAACAATAACAAAACAAAAAGGGGAAGATATCACCACATCCAAAAGAAGACAAACTACCACGACCAAAAGACCTCTCTGACAAATCGGCCTGTCTTCTGCTCACCACGGCCTAAAGAGGACAAAACACACACTTTCGACTGCATTAACTTTTGAATCTTGATTAATAATACAACTCACAAGAAATATTTCAATAGCACAATAATTTGAAAGATTAATTTTTAAATGCTCGTTTGTTTTATCCATTTAAATTCATAATTTTATTATGTTACACTATTTTTCTCTCATAAAAAATTTGTATTTTAAATATTAAAATTAAGAATCATTAATTTAAACATATAGACTAAACGGACCTTAAGACTTGAAATTTCCTCCTTCCCTTTTTAAATTTTTAATCAATTTCAATTAATTGATCCAAATTTATTCATGAAAAAATTTTCAAAACATCCCTATCTTTTGTCTAAATACCACTTTTAACTTTTTTATTATATAAATGTCCAAACCATCACTTATTTATTAAATCATGACTGAAAAAAACATGATCATAAAATCAGTCTCAAAATATCTTCTGAAGCAATTGAGTTTTTAAGAATATCAAAGTTACCTTTCATAACTTATATCAAAATACAATTTAAAAGAATATTAAATCAAAATGCTAAATAAAATCAACCTCTAAAAAAAATTTCTCAAAATAATTAAGATACTTGTTTGATTGAAATGTTTATATGACCATTTTAGAATTCTTTATATTTAATTTTTGTTCAATATATCATTTCAAATGACATCTAATTTAGATTGGAAAGTTAATCTTGATATTCTCAAAATTTTAATTGTTTCAGAAGGTATGTGTTGATTGATTTTTTTTTTCTTTTCATGATTGATATTTAGAAATACAAGGAACGATTTGGGTATTTGTATAATAAAAGGGGCAAAAAATGATATTTAGGTTTAGCACCTATTTTGCTAAGGTGTTTGTGATATCTACTCACTAATGCTACTACACTCAAAAAAGCAAATTAAACTGTCTTCATTTATGTCTGAAAATACAATGACGATTGCTATACGTTGCGCATGGAGAGCTAATTTTTGTTTAACAAATCTCATCTCTGACCTCCAGGCCATATGCGGCGAATGTTTGGTTCTCTGTTTCTCATCATATTAAAAATAAAATAAAAAAGAAAAAGAAGAAGAAGAAGAAGAAGAAGAAGAAGATACAATATAATATTGTTCATGAATCACAACACTATTTTCCTTTGTTTAAATAAGTTAATGAATCACAAATCACAATATTGTTCATGAATCACAACACTATTTTCCTTTGTTTAAATAAGTTAATAAATCACAATATTGGAGAGCTAATTTTTGTTTAACAAATCTCATCTCTGACCTCTAGGCCATATGCGGCGAATGCTTAGTTCTCTGTTTCTCATCATATTAAAAATAAAAAATAAAATAAAAAAGAAGAAGAAGAAGAAGAAGATCTTGTTCATGAATCACAACACTATTTTCCTTTGTTTAAATAAGTTAATGAATCACAATATTGGAGAGCTAATATTTGTTTAACAAATCTCATCTCTGACCTCCAGGCCATATGCGGCGAATGCTTAGTTCTCTGTTTCTCATCATATTAAAAATAAAAATAAAAATAAAAAGAAGAAGAAGAAGAAGAAGATCTTGTTCATGAATCACAATATTGTTCATGAATCACAACACTATTTTCCTTTGTTTAAATAAGTTACACGAATTCCAGGACCATAATAAAATAAACTAAATTAAATCGTCTTATATGAAGACAAGTTCTTACATGCTTAAATATGACCAGGGATTTTAAGAACTTCGGTCTTGTGCAGGATAATGGGAAGTCTCTGGCTGATGACACTTGGGTCACTATAGGAAGCGGAATCAGTAGAGTATCCTTTCTGCACAATTTGATTAGCTAATCAATGCAACACGAAACATACATGAAAGTTTGATTCACAAATGAAATTTCTCTTATACTGGTAAAGGAGCCAGCAGGAAGACGGAAAATAGTAGCATCAGGAAAAACTAATAGTGACTGGTTATTGGCCGACTAACTTTTAACAAATCTACATGACTCAAAATTTTCGTGAAAGACAGGATTCTTTCGTAAAATAAAGCTTTTGTTTGCAAGTGAACAAAACTTTTGTTAATATTTCATTGTTTAAGCTGAATTATGAAAGACGTAATTATCATCCTTGGTGAGAGAATATATACACAATAAGCTCTTAACGTAAACTTACCGCGGATAAAGCTTGAAATGTGGCTTCTCTCCAGCAGGTTTCTCGAAGAATAGTAGGACTTGCGTTGTCGCCAAATACACAATGCATACGAGTGTCCCTTAGTCTCATAAGCACTCCATCAACTCTAAGCTGTGAGAAGAATTGGTTCGGTGATCAAATATAGTTTTGGAAATCAGGAGAAAAGAAAGAAAAAACATATTTTTTAGTACATCCAATAATGTCTCAAGGGTTATATAAGAGAATTTGTATTCTTTTGCAATGGTTCAATGTTTGCTATGCTTATACCAGCTAAATGGTCATAAGATCAATATTAAGAAACTTGTGCCAGAAGGGATATTTACTATTATTATCTGAAATAAGTTGACTGAGAATTTGTGGACACGGAAAACAACTTACCCAGTAGCGCAAGAGAAGAAACCAAGAACTTGGCATGACTCTCTGAAAATCAAAAGGTGACACGATCAATCCTCAACCATGGTAAGCGTGTTCAAGAAACAATAGATCAGGTAAAACCAGGCAAAAATAGCAAGAGATTGAAGAGTTACCACTTTAACAGTTAGAAGTGACACTCCATTATCAGCCAATTCATCTTCATACAGGACTACCTGTTCAGTTACAGAAACTCTTTTTCATAGCAAGAAAAGAACAATAGATACATCAACATGTACAGTCACGAACCCATGCATGTCACGCAGAGGTGCTGACCTCGTCATAGAAGAGAATAGGCTCTTTCGACGTGAGTGCAGCAACATCAATTTGCTTCTTGCAGTCCTCCCACTGAAGATTATAGGCAACCTCAGCCACATCCTTTATTTCATTCTGAAATATGAAACACTTCAAATCAATCTATTTTTACTTTCGACACCAGTTCATTTTCTACCATATATGTACACATGAGTTAACATCAGGAGAACGCTCATAGCAGCAAACTGATTGCAGCAATATCATACGCTGCACTTGCGATTTTAACTACGCAAAAAGTTATGTCTGCAGAGAAAGCGGAAGCACACACCTTGGTTGCATTCATTTCAATTGTTTCACTTCCACGATAGGGTGTTGTGAATGTATAATCATAATCCAGTATCACCTGCTGGGCAGGTTTGCTGCATTTCAGAAAAAGGAATATCATGAAAACCAATAGAAGTATTTTCTAACTGGTAAGTGAAAAATTGATGAAGCAATTTGATTGGACAACTCAAACAACAGAATAACATTATATGCTACAAAAACATTATCAAAATAGCTGCACATAAAGTAAATCCCCAGCAATGCACATTGCTGAAGTTACTCAACTTAAGGGTCTAGACAGAACAAGTGGAAAATTTAAGTTAAAACCCTATACAAATTTTATTTCATTCACAAACTACAAAAGAAAAGTAATCATGTCGCTTCCTATGAACTGTTTCCTGACGTTTTGAAATCAAGTCATGTCTTCGGTATGATACAGATAGACTTTAACAACTGAACTAATTGGTTCTTTCAAACCATCAACAAAAGATCACAATTCCATCCAGCAAGAGAAATATGTCACCTTTTGCTCGGATTTAATGTACTAACATCCTATGTCATATTACATTAGGTCTTCTTAACATTATCCATCCTCAAAACAACTAGCAGTTGCTTCAGCAATGTGCTACATTTTCACAACAATAACCTTTTATGGTACATTCTAAGTCAAATGTCAAGAGAAAGCATAAACTTGCCTTCGGAATTTCCACTTTGCAGCTGCCGGAACTTCCACCGGCGGCAGCGCTTCCTGTTTCCATCCAATTAGCGCATCGAACGCGTTAAAATGAATTTTAGTGCCACTATTTATGTGCTTAAGAACCAAACAACTCTCTCCAAAAATCATCTCTGGAAAGTGAGACGTCTGAAGCTTTTCTTCCCACCTGCAACCCCATCAAAGCCACGCTCAACATACACACATATTTACACAAATATTATCTGAATAATCAGAATTAGCATAAATTAAAAAAAAAGAAAAAATCAACATCAGTCGCCAAGCTTTATTGTTGATCGTTAAGGCTTATTTTCAGAACCTATCCCACTAATTAAATTATCAAAAATAAAAAAAAATAAAAACCCACAATAAAAGCAGGTCTAAAAAGTACAAACTTTCTGTAGAAGATGATGATAATCAACAACGGCGTACCAAAATTAGAACAACCAAACAGCAAATTCAGCAGAAATTTAAACACGGTTTCTTTTCGATTCGAACAGTCTCCAATCTAAGTCGATCAAAAGAGAGAATTTCGGTGGCGTTTCGAAGAGAAGACAAAGGAGGAAAAGTGAAAACAGAAAGTTTACCGTTGAAGGGTGGAGGAGTTGAGAATGGAGCGCTTGAGAGACTCGACCTCCCAGCCATGGATGCGGATGCCATGGCGTCCGTCGGCGAGGAGCTCGGCTCCAGCGGCCTTGACGTCGTTATCGTCAACTTCCAATTCCATTTTTCTTCTTTTCTTCCCTTCTGCCCTTTTTTGCTCTCCTGCTTGTACGTTTCCATTCATATGGTATGCGTATCGGCGGACACGGATTTGGGCCTAAACCGGTGTCTTCGGGCCTGACCCACCCGGGTACATGGGTTGGAAACAGAAATATGGAAAAGTGCGTATCTGTGGACATGGATTTGGGCTTAAACCGGTGTCTTCGGCCCTGACCCACCCGGGTACATGGGTTGGAAACAAAAATATAGAGAAGAATATGGAAAAGTGTTGGTGGTGGAAAACCTAACTCACCATGAGCTGAGGATAAAAGGTATTATTTATACTGTGGATGCTAGTACATAATAATCAGTTATACACGTGACACAAAACCAGAAATCAGGTCCTATACATAGTAATATACAAGCTGCTGTACACAATTTACATTTTGCCTTCTAACACCCCCCCGCAAGCGAAGGGGGTGAGGCACCACCGTGAGCTTGCTACGAAGAGATAGAAGTATGAGAGAAGGCAGAGGTTTGGTCATTATATCAGCTAGCTGGTCACTGGAAGTAGTGTATTCAACAGTGAAAGTTTTATCCATTACTCGTTTGCAAACAAAATGGTAATCAATCTCAATGTGCTTTGTACGGGCGTGAAGCACAGGATTTGCTACAAGATGAAGTGTGCTAATATTATTACAAATCAATACTGGTGCAGGAAGAAGAGGAATGTGAAGTTCAGTGAGAAGGGCACGAAGCCATAGCACTTCAACTACAGCATTTGCAAGACCACGATTTTCAGACTCCGTACTGCTGCGAGACACGACACACTGCTGCTTTGTTGAGGACCAAGAAATGAGATTGGGCCAAAGGAAAGCACAATATCCACTAGTGCTTCTGCGATCATCAGTGTCGGATGCTCAATCAGAGGAAGCATGGAAAGAGATGCCATAGGGGAGTGTGCCATGTAAGTAGCGAAGGATTCTTTTGACTGCATTCCAATGTGATGTGGTTGGAGCATGCATGTATTGGCAAACCTTACCAACAACAAAACTGAGGTCAGGTCTAGTGATGGTACAATATTCTAGTGGCCTAACAACTTGCATATAGTGTAACGTCCTCTAGAATTAAACATGTTTAATTATGCTAAATTGTAAGTTATTAGTGTACCTAATTTGATTTTCATAATTAATCAAAGGAGTTTAAATTATTTTTAATATTTATGATTTCACCCTAAAAAATTTTAGAAATACACTTAAATTTTAATGCATTTTCATTTTTTTTCAATTTTTCCCTTTTTTTCCTTTTTTCATTTTTCCTTTTTCTTTTTTTTTCTTTTCTTCTTTTTCCTTTCCCTCTTTTCCTTCCCGTGCAGCCCACAGACCCCTCTCTTTCTCTCTTTCTTTTTCTTTCCTCTCTATTTCTCTCTTTCTTTCTTTCTTTTTCTTTCCTCTCTCTCTCCTCTGGTTTCTCCCACCACCGCACCTTTCTCTCTCATTTTTTCTTCCATGCCGGCCAACCACCTCTCTGGGCTCTCTCTCTCTCCCGCCGGCTGTCTCTCTCTCCAGATCTCTCTCCCTTTCCGGCCGTCTCTCTCTCTCTCTCTCTCTCTCTCAGCTTGCTGCCAAGACACACAGAAAAAAATAGAAAACGGGAGAAACAGAGGGAAACGATGCTCCACCAACTAATTTGAGGTAAAACCCCTTGAAACCCACTCTTTGATTTGAATTTTAAACTTGAGAAAGTTTAATTTTGGTTAGATTTGAATAATTTTGAGTTATGGTTTGGATTTGAACAATTGTTGTTAGAATTGAATGAAATTTGGGGGTTTTCAGTTATTAGCCTTGTTGAATTGATTGGAAACTGGTTTTGATGATTTATGGAGAATTTATTTTGAAATTGAACTTGAATTGCAGGTTTGGCATTTTTCCTATGTATGCCGGTATGCTGCCGAAATTTCTTTAAAAAGTTATTTTTAAGCTGAAATTAAATAGGAAACCAAATGCATGAATTGGATTTCAATCTTTAAAGAACCCCCAAACTTATTATAAAATCGTTTGTGAAACTTAGATTTGACTCAAGGCACACTAATAGGAAACAATTAAACATGATTGGGCTTAATTCGTTTTAGGAATGAGAAATACATCCTAAGATATTACTTTTGTGATAAAGCTAGTGAAGAAAATCAAGTATTAAAACTTTAAGGAAAGCAGAGGCTAAGCGAACGAAATGCTAGCCCAGGTTTGACATCCGAGAGGCAGGATATTATTGTCTATATCCTTGTTAGCCTTACTTTAAATGGTTTTGACCAATGAAAATGTTTTATAACAAACATGTTGAAAGAAAATGATTTTAAAGGAATAGCATGAATAATGCTATTGACTTTCCAATGATTTTTAGAAATGAGATTTTTAAAAGTTTCATTTCTTAAAATGAAATATTTTAAGAAATGATAAAACGTAGTGTTGCCTCAGAGATCGGGATATGGGAATCATATCCTTAGGGGCAGGACCCGAAACGCGTACGGATCCACTTCTTGCTCTGTGGTGTTATGGCTCTGCATATTTTCATTATACATATATTTTGCTACTACTACATGAGTATTTCCTTTTTTTTTAAAAAAATGATGATTGGTTCCGGGTGTATGTCTTCGGACTGTGAGTACCTTTATTTACAATGTTTTATAAAATTGTATGATCGGTTCCGGGTGTATGTCTTCGGACCATGAGTACCTTCATTTACTATGTTTTATAAAATTATATCCTACTGGGCCTTCCGCTCACTTTTCTATATTTCAAATGTATTAAACCCCTCCAAGCGACGCGAGGAGCAGTGCGGATAGGTAGCTTCTACCAGTGAGGTGAATCTGTATTCGAGAAATGAATATTTACATTTTCTTTCCTTTTATCTCAAGGCATGTATTAAATTATGGATTGTAAACTCAAATATTACTATATTGTAGTTTATGTCAACATTTACTTTTGTTTATATTTATGTATGCTAAACCTGTGGGAATTCCTGACATGATACCAGGGACGAGGTTTTGAACTGGTTTGGTTGGAAATTTCATCACTTTTCTTAAAATTAAATTTCTCATAAATAGCGGGGCTTGTTTAGAAATACCTGGATGTTTTGAATTTGAAATTTAAATTTTTGCACTGTTATTTGTTAATCTCTTTCTTAAACAGGTTTAAATTTCTAAACAAGCCTCCACGTCACTAACCCTTATTTGGGGGCGTGACATGTAGGGTGTTGGATCAGCAAGAGGTTCTCCATCATATAGAGAAAGCACTACATTAGAAGCCATGGGAGAAGAAGCAGGTTTGCAGTCAAGCATGTCAACTCGAGCAAGGAGATCATTAATGTATCTTTGATGACAAAGATGAAGCGAATCCTTGGAATGAGAGACATGAATACCTAGAAAATAATGAAGTGGCCTGAGATCCTTTAAAGCAAAGTTGTTGTTCATAAATTTGATCAACTGTTGAATGAGAGAGCAAGAGCTGCTAGTGACAATAATGTCATCAACGTAGACTAACACCACAAGCATGTCAGTTGGCCTTGGAGTTGACAAACCCCAGATGTAAGAGACAATTACTCAGTTTGGTGTACCAAGCACGGGGACTTTGTTTTAAGCTATTTAGAGATTTGATAAGTTTGCATACATAATCTGATCGTGTTGGATCAACAAAACCCTGGGGTTGGGCCATGAACACTTCTTTTGTATCTCCATTCAAGAATGCATTGTGCACATCTAATGATTAGATGGGCCAATTTTAGGCAAGTGTTAGGCACAACACAACTCTTATAGTAGTTGGTTTGACTACCGAGCTGAAAGTGTAAAAGTAGTCAAGACCAAGAGTTTGTAGAAAGCCCTTGGCCACTAAGTGGGCTTTGTGTCTCTCAAGAGTCCCATCTGGTTTAAGCTTTAATTGATAGACCCATTTGCTTCCAATAACTTTCTGAGCAGAAGATGGTGGTACCAAGGTCCAAGTTTTGTTGTTTAGCAAGGCATTAAATTCAGTTTGCATTGCAAGTTGCCATTGAAGATCGGCAGTAGCATGTTTGAATGTTATTGGTTTGGATAGAGCACGAATCGTGACTACATGAAGCTGAACATTAAAAAGTCTTTTTGGCTTGTGAATGCCTATTTTGACATGGTCACCATAGAATGCACATTAGTGTTATCTGGTGTTACATGAATAACAGGCTCTGTTGTAATAATGGGAAAGCCAATTGAAGATCCAAATATAAAGAGATGAGTGAGATGAGACCGAAGAAGGATAAGATAAAGCTAGAGGTGATAGAGATTGAGGTGAGGGGTTGACTAGAGGTGAAGTAGGTGAGTGAGGAGGTGTAGGATCAAAAGTATGTGGGGAAGAATATGATGGAATTTGGAATACAGATGGAGACAATGGTGATATAGAAGTACAGTGAGGAAGTATTGAAGAGACGGTCAGTTTAGAAAATGGGAATGATGACTCATGAAAAATGACATGATGCAAAATATAGTTTCTCCTTGTTTTATAATTTAAACAGAGATATCCTTTATGAAAATTGTTGTAACCAAGAAAGACACACTCTGTAGGCTTATATTGAAGTTTATGATCGTTGTATGGGCGAAGAAAAGGAAAACATGAACAACCAAAGACTTTGAGGAACTCATATGAAGATTTTGTAATAGAGTGTTTCATAGGGTGATTGGAGATTCAAAACAAGGGTTGGAAGTCTGTTTATTAGGTATACTATAGATTGGAAAGCATATGGCCAGTAAGAGAGAGGAACTGAGGCATGAGCAAGCAAAGATAAGCCAACTTCCACTACATGGTAATTTTTGCATTCTACTCTACCATTTTGTTGTGGTGTAATGGGATATAGATGTCTATGGTGATTAAGGCTTGGATTTTGGTGTTAAATTGAGTCTCGGCCATATTTTTGAATTTTTTTTAAAACGCCAAAGGCTTCGTGTTTAGCATAAAAAAGGTAGAGCCAAGTGAAACGAGAGTGATCATCAATAAATAAACATAAGTACTTTGCACCAGTAACAGAGAGAACCAAAAAGGTTCCCCATAAATCAGAGTAAACAAGTTCAAAAGGCTTTGTAGCTCAAAAATTTGATTCATTAAACGGTAAACGATGGCTTTTAACCAACTGACAAGAAACACAAAAGTCAAGTGAATTTTTACTAGAAGTTTTTAAATTAC